TAGCAACACAAGTGGAACTGGAGGTTAGTATCTTAAGTGAAATAAGCCAGGCACAAAAAGACAAATATCGTATGTTCTCACTTTTATGTGGGAGCTAAAAATTTTGAACACATGGAGGTAGAGAGTGGAAAACTAGATAACAGAGACTGGGAAGGGTGGGTAGGATGAAGAGAAGAGGTTTAAAGGGTACAAAGATGCAGTAAGATAGAAGAAATAAAGTCAGTGTTTTAGAGCAGAGTAGAATTACTATACTTAACAAAAATGTATTTTATTCAGGTGATGGGCATCCGAATACCTAACTTGATCACTAGACAGTATATACATGTCACAAAACTTTTGATGTGCTCCACAAATTTGTGTAAATAATAATAATAAAAGGATGCAATGGAGGGTTGTTAGAGGAGACTCAAGACAGTGGGATGTCATATTCAAAGTGCTCAAAGATGGCTGGACGTGGTGGCTCTCATGCCTGTAATACCAGCACTTTGGGAGACTGAGGCAGAAGGATTGTTTGAGCCCAAGAGATTGAGACCAGCCTGGGCAGCATGGTGAGACCCAGTCTCTATTTAAAGAAAATTGAAAGTAACCGAACAAAAAACAAAGTGCTCAGAGTTAGATAAACTGTTAACTGAGAATCTTATATCCAGCAAGTTAACTTGCAAACATGAAAGTGAAATTGACATATTCCCAGATAAAACCTGTGAGAATTGGTTGTTATAGCCTTCCCTTAAAATAAATACTAAAAGTATTTTGAAAGCAAGTGACTTAAGGTGGGAATTAAATACACATGAACAAAGAGCATTGGCAAAGTTAATTGTAAAGAAGAATATAAATACATATTTCTTCTTTGTTAGTTGACTTTAAAAGCAATTTAAAAATATATGTAAGCAATTTGTATATATATATGTATGCATTGAATTTATATATTATGTGTGTGTGCATGCGTGTGTGGTTGCATATGTGTATATGCCCGTAACATATAGAAATGTATTATATTTGGCAATAACAGTACAAAGGAAGTGGGCAGGGGGAAAGTTCTGTTGTGGTAAGAAATGACTTTAAATGATAACTCAAATTGAGAAGATGAAATGGAGATCCAGAAATGGTAAATAATTTTAATATAACTAAAGCTATAAATATGTATGTTTTCTCCTTTCTTCTCTCAGCTTCTTTAGAATACATAAAATTATATAAAGTAATCTTATAATGTTGGATTTATAACCTTTATAGGTGTAATGTGTAATAATATCACAAAAAGGCAGAAAAGGAAATAGAGCTATATAGGAATAACTTTTTAATATCTCATTGCTGTTAGTATGGGTCTGAAGCTGATTATGACCAGTCAAGATTCATATGGTAGGCCAGGTATGGTGATTCATGTCTATAATCCCAGCACTTTGGGAGGCTGAGGCAGAAGGATCATTTGAACCCAAGAATTTAAGACCAACCTGGGCAACATGGCAAGACCCTGTCTCTACAAAAAATTTTTTAAAAACGAGCTTGACATGGTGGCATGTGCCTGTAGTCACAGCTACTCAGGTGGCTGAGGTGGAAGGATCACTGGAGCCTGGGAGGTTGAGGCTGCAGTGAGGCATGGTCATGCCACTGTACTTTAGCCTGGGTGACAAGGTGAGAACCTGTCTCAAAAAGAAAAGGAAAAAAAGAAGATTCATATGGTAAAGGCTGATGCGACCACTAAGGAAGGAATTCAAAAATACAGTTCAAAATTATTAGATAAATTAAGACATTACATTAAAAAGAATCTGCTTGTTCTAGATCCTTGAGGAATCACCACACTGTCTTCCACAATGGTTGAACTAATTTACATTCCCACCCACAGTGTAAAAGCGTTCCTAGTTCTCCACATCCTCTCCAGCATCTGTTGTTTCCTGGCTTTTTTTGTTTGTTTGTTTCTTTTTGTTTGTTTGTTTTTTGAGATGGAGTCTCGCTCTGTCGCCCAGGCTGGAGTGCAGTGGCACAATCTCAGCTTACAGCAAGCTCCACCTCCTGGCTTCAAGCCATCCTCCCGTCTCAGCCTCCTGAGTAGCTGGGACTACAGGCACTCACCACCATGCCCAGCTAATTTTTGTTGTTTTTAGTAGAGACAGGGTTTCACTGTGTTAACCAGGATGGTCTCGATCTCCTGACCTTGTGATCCATCCGCCTTGGCCTCCCAAAGTGCTGATTACAGGCATGAGCCACCATGACTGGCCATTTCCTGACTTCTAATGATTGCCGTTCTAACTGGCATGAGATGGTATCTCATTGTGGTTTTGATTTGCATTTCTCTAATGACCAGTGATGATGAGCTTTTTTTCATGTTTGTTGGCTGCATAAATGTCGTCTTTTGAGAAGTGTCTGTTCATGTCCTTTGCCCACTTTTTGAGGGGGTTGTTTGTTTTTTTCTTGTAAATTTGTTTACGTTCTTTGTAGATTCTGGATATTAGCCCTTTGTCAGATGGATAGATTGCAAAACTTTTCTCCCATTCTGTAGATTGACTGTTCATTCTGATGATAGTTTCTTTTGCTGTGCAGAAGCTTTTTATTTTAATTAGATCTCATTGGTCAATTTTGGCTTTTGTTGCCATTGCTTTTGGTGTTTTAGTCATGAAGTCTTTGCCTATGCCTATGTCCTGAATGGTATTGCCTAGGTTTTCTTCTGGGGTTTTTATGGTTTTATTTCTTACATTTAAGTCTTTAATCCATCTTGAGTGAATTTTTGTATAAAGTGTAAGGAAGGGGTCCTGACTGTTTTCTGCATATGGCTAGCCAGTTTTCCCAACACCATTTATTAAATAGGGAACCCTTCCCCCTCCCGTTGCTTATTTTTGTCAGGTTTGTCAAAGATCAGATGGTTGTAGATGTGTGGCATTATTTCTGAGGCCTCTGTTCTGTTTCATTGGTCTATATATCTGTTTTGGTACCAGTACCATGCTGTTTTGGTTACTGTAGCCTTGTAGTATAGTTTGAAGTCAGGTAGCGTGATGCCTCCAGCTTTGTTCTTTTTGCGTAGGATTGTCTTGGCTGTACAAGCTCTACCATTTGACCCAGCAATCCCATTACTGGGTATCTACTCACAGGATTATAAATCATTCTACTGTAAAGACACATGTACACATATGTTTATTGCAGCACTATTCACCATAGCAAAGACTTGGAACCAATCCAAATGCCCATCAATGATAGACTGGATAAAGAAAATGTGGCACATATACCATGGAATACTATGCAGCCATAAAAAGGCTGAGTTCATGTCCTTTGCAGAGATACGGATGAAGCTGGAAACCATCATTCTCAGCAAACTAACACAGGAACAGAAAACCAAACACCATATGTTTTCACTCTTAAGTGGGAGTTGAACAATGAGGACACATGGACACAAGGAGGGGACAATCACACACTGGGATCTGTTGGTGGGTAGGGGGCTAGGGGAGGAACAGCATTAGGAGAAATACCTAATGTAGATGACGGGTTGATGGGTGCAGCAAACCACCATGGCATGTGTATACCTCGGTAACAAACCTGCACGTTCTGCACATGTACCCCAGAACTTAAAGTATAATAATAATAACAAAAAGAATCCACGTGATGCAGAAGAGTAAAGGAAGAATAAAGGAACAGAAAAATTCGGAGACATATAGAAAACAAAATGCAAAATATCAAATGTAAATCCAACTACAGTATATCATTAATAACATTAAATGTGAATATATTAAACAAGGGGCAGAGATTGTCACATTAGACAAAAGCAGAAGATCCATCTGTGTGCTCTTTACAGGACACACATGTTAAATTCAATAATACAGGGCAGGCGTGGTGGCTCACGCCTGCAATCCCAGAACTTTGGGAGGCCGAGGAGGATGGATCACCTGAGGTCAGGTGTTTGAGACCAGCCTGGCCAACATGGTGAAACCCTGTCTCTACTAAAAGTACAAAAAGTAGCCGTGTATGGTGGTGCAAACCTGTAATCCCAGCTACTGAGGAGGCTGAGGCAGGAGAATCATTGAACCTGGGAGGCAGAGGTTGCAGTGAGCCAAGATCACGCCACTGCACTCTAGCCTGGGTGACAGAGCAAGACTTTGTCTCAAAAAGAAAAAAAAATTCAATGATACAAACAGACAAAGTTAAAGGATGAAAAACTACCATGGGAACAGCAATCACAAGAAGGCTGGAATTGCTAACATCAGAAAAAATAGACTTACAAATGCTACTGGTGATAAAGAGGGACATTTTATGATAAAAGGGTCATCAATTAGGAAGCTATAACAATTATAAACCCATATGCACCGAATCACAGACACCCAAATACATGAAGCAAAAAGTCACAGAAATGGAGAAACAGATAACTCAACAATAATAGTCGGAAATGTCAGTTCCTCACTTTCAACAATTGATCAAAAAACTAGGCCCAAGGTCATCAAGGAAACAGGAAGTGGAACCATACAAGCCTATCAGACTTATCAGATCTCTAGAACACTCTACCCAACAGCAACAGAATCTGTATTCTTCTCAAGTGTCCTGGAGACATTCTCCAGGATAGACCATACATAGATCACAAACCCTTTAAATAAAGAGAATAGAAATAATACATTTCATATACTCTGCCCACAATAGAATTTAATTAGAAATGACTAACAGAAGGACATTTGGGAAACTCACATAAAATAACACGTCTAAATAACAAGTTTAAGAAGAACCCAAAAGGGAAATTTGAAGCACCTTGAAATGAATTAAAAAGAAGACACAACACAGGTGGAGCAGCAGACTGAAGAGTGAAGCCCCTCCCTGGAGCCCGTGGACTGCCCTGCGCCTCCAGGTCCACACCCAGCTCTGCGTCCTCATCCTCGCACTCTCTATGGAGCCATCGAAGGCTTGGTTCCGCCATCTGCCTCCCCGGTAGTGCAGGCGGGCACCACAGGGAGGGCCCAAGGAGGTGGCATCTGTAGTGGCGGCCCCCACCCTGCCATGTGGGTACTAATGCGGGACCCTCTTTCGTACAGTGGAGCTGATCCCCAGCCACAGGATGAAGAAGAAGGGCCCCAGCCTGCCCAAGGGCCTGGATGTGAAGGAGCAGGGGCAGTAAGTGTGTCTGCGGGCTGGGTTCTTTCCAGGATGGCAGCCTGTGTTTGGACAGTGCTGCTGTGCCGGGCCTGACCACCTCATCCCGGGACAGCCTCTGCCATCTGATACCCAAGTGGCATGGCCTCCTCCAGGAAGTCCTGCTGGCAGGCTCTGGGCTTCAGCCAAGATGAGGTGCAGATGATGCACCCTGCAGATGAGGGTGCAGAGTCACAGGGCACACTCATGGAGCTGCCCTGGGCTGCTCCCAGTGGGTCAGAGAGGGGTTCCATGTCCTGCAGGAGAGTGGCCACCTCCCGTCCCAGAGACAGCCGCTGAGTGGGGTTTGAGCCCAGGCTCTGCTTCTGCAAGATGTCCTGTGGAGGCTTGCCTGGCCTGCTGGCTGTGTGGCAGAGCCTGCATACCTGCACCCTCCTTGCCCCTCCCTCCACCACTGGCCTCTCCTTGGAGTCTCAACACTGTACTCACTCTGCTGTTCCAGAACAGTCTCTTTACATGCCTGTTTCTCCTCTGGGATGAGAGGGCAGGAACCAGGCCCTGTTCTTATGGGCGTCCCCACCTCATAAACCCTGAGCCACCCAGCGAGGTGATGGAGAGGGAACTGGTGCAGGACAGGGAGGGGTTTCTCCTCCTAAAGCAGAGGAGACTGGTGCTTTGAAGCTCACCCCAAAGGCAGGCTCCATGCCCTGCCCCCGAAGAGTCCCTTCTCCCATGCCACAGTGTACCACAGACATTTCCCTATGTGCCTAGGAGTTCCCCACCATTGTTGTGTTTATGGCACCATGGCAGTCTCCTGAATGGATGTGCATTCACTTAACCAGCCCTTACTGGTGGGCAGAGGTGGTTCCCAGAGCTCGGCATGTGTTGGTTTACTATTCTAAATGTTGCTGTGCTGAACATCCACAGGACGGGGACTTGGGGGCTTTTGTCTGTGTGTGAAGGCTGCCCAACACGGGACAGTGCGGGACGGTGGGGACTAGCCCAGGAGCTCAGGGCCAGGCACAGCTCCCAGGCAGCGGCTGTTTGTGGGGAAGCGGGTTCCGGAGTGGCCACCTGCTGACTGTGAGGCTCTGTTGCAGAATTCCCTTCTTCAAGTTCTGCTACCAGTGTGGCCGCTCCATCGGGGTCCGCCTCTTGCCCTGCCCTCGCTGCTACGGGATCCTGACCTGCAGCAAGTACTGTAAGACCAAGGCCTGGAACGAGTTCCACAAGAAGGACTGCGGGGACCTGGTGGCCATCGGTAGGTCGGCCCTCAGGTTGGGAGGCAAGGGGTCCGCTGCTGCTGAGGGCGAAGGCGCAGACCTGGGGTGCTGGTGAGGGGCACCTTCATTTCCCGAAATCTTTCCAGATTCAGGCCACTTTTCCAACATTTCCAGATGGGCCTGTTGGGCATCAGGGGGCCACTGAGGCAGCCTGGCTCTTCCTCACCTACTGTGGCAGCATGATGCTTGTCCTCGCCCTGGAAGGGGATACACCCCATCCCTGCAGAGCTGGAACATGGACCCCTGGGGGCTCTGTGGACCCGTGGGAGCTTCACTGAACTCCTGGGGGCTCTGCTGACATCTGGGGGCTTCACTGACACCTGGGGGCTCTGCTGGACACCAGTGCCTCTGGACCACAGGGCAGTTGGCCTTGGGGCTCCTTCAGGAAATTTCCTCCCAGCCTGCCGTCTCAGATGTCTGTCGTAGTGTGGACATCAACAGGTGTCTGCTTCTAGAAACACCGGCTCTCCTGCGCTCCCCTCCTCCCCTCCTTGGTGTGACCAGGGCCCGGAGCCTCGAGGGCGGCGGGCATTGCTGAGGCTGGTGTGTGAGGCTGTGCAGTGGTGACCGCTCTACTGGGACCTGGCTGGGTTCCCAGCCTGGTGGGGATGGGAGTGGGTCTGGGAAAGCCCCTGTCCTTGGGCCTGTGCCCTGAAGCGAATGGCTGCTGATCTCCTTCCCCACTCTATAAAATGGGGCTTTATATATATATATTTTTTTTCTTTTGAGGTGGAGTCTTACTGTGTCACCAAGTCTGGAGTGCAGTGGCGCGATCTCCGCTCACTGCAACCTCTGCCTCCCAGGTTCCAGCGATTCTCCTGCCTCAGCCTCGCCAGTAGCTGGGACTACAGGCGCGTGCCACCACGTCTGGCTAATTTTTTGTATTTTTAGTACAGATGGGGTCTCACTATGTTAGCCAGGATGGTCTCGATCTCCTGACCTTGTGATCCACCCACCTCGGCCTCCCAAAGTGCTGGGATTACAGGTGTGAGCCCCCGCGCCCGGCCAATGGGGCTTTTAATAACAGGCACCCTCGGTGGGGTCGCAGCTCCTTGGCTTGTAGACTCCAGGATGGGACTTGGTGGGTCTGGCAGGCCCCTCTTTGAAGAGTTACTGCAGATAGCCCTCAGGCCTTGCTGCGTCCAGTCTCCTTGCCTGCAAAAGCGCTAGACAGCACAGTCCTCAGCCGCCCCACACAGCCTGAGTTCTGGAGCCAGGCCTGGGGGGAGGCCAGCTCCAGCCCCCTCTTCCGCCTCCCCCATTCCTTTTCCTCCTCCAGTGACACAACTGGAGGAAGTTTCCAGGAGGAGAGAAGAATCTCAGTGAAGCAGCAGCTGCACGTCCGAGGCTTGGGGAGGACCCAGGACTGTGGGTTTCTTACCTGCCTGAGCCACCTCGGGGAATCTTCCAGCCTACTGCGTGCATTTCTGCAGCTTTGGGGCCATGCTTTGTAGCCGTGTCTCCCTTGCGACCTCACAATAAATTGGCTCCACAGGGTGTTTTTGACAGTCCGTGCTGTGCTCCGCCTCTCGCGGGGCAGTCCCAGAGCTTTTGTGGAGCCTGTGCCTGCCTCTGCCCTTGGCTTTGATCTTGCCTGGCCTGCCATGGGGCCTGGCCTGGGCCGTCCTGATGGACCAGGCAGGCGAGGGTCAGGACTCGGAGCCTGCTGCAGAGATGGCGGTGGGGGCAACTCCTGGGTCTCTGGGGCTTGTTCTGGGACCTTGCTAGGAGCCCGTGGCAGCAGGCTCCACTCCCTGCTCAGGTGCCCATGGGTGCAAGGCTCCTACTGGGGTCTGCGGTGCTCATTTGTTCCCCGTGCACTTACGGAGTGTCTGCTGTGTGCTGAGTGTTCTGAAGATGACGGTGTTTGTGGAAATCACTGGGGCTGAGAGGAAGGAGGGCCTGGAGCAAATGACAGGGAGCAGTGCTGCCTTCGAGGGTCACCCGTGTGGAAATTCAGGGAGAGGGCAGGGGAGGGTGCACTGCGAGGGGCGGACCTGGAAGAGGACAACAGCATCCCCGGGGACTAGGGGACGGTGTCCCGGGGCGAGTACGATGGGGGTTTGCTGCTGAGGGCAGAAGAGCTGGGAGTGTCGGGGGTGGGAGCCTGTGCTGGGGCTGGAGCCAAGCAGGTGAGGCCCCACTCCAGGCTGGCTTGTGACTGTCAAAGCAGCCACCTGCAGTGACTTTTTGTTGCTGACTTCCTTGGTCTCATCAAAGATGGGCTGCGTGCCAGGGGTTTGTTGGGGTGCCCTGGGAAATGCTGCTCTAAGGGGTCAGCAACGAGCCTGGGCAGAGGGACAAGCTGACTGATGGGTGGCTTTTCATAGGGGCTCCAACGGACGCAGGGGCCAGGCCTTTGTACCCCTGCATCGGCTGGTCACTGGTCACAGGCTGCCCCTGGGAGGGTCGTAACCGTGTGAGCTGGCTCACTGCCGCCAAGAGCTGTTCCTGGTCGGGGGCTCCGGGATGCTGGGTGGGTGTAGGCACCCCCAGCTTCCACTACCTCTGCTAGAAAGGAAAAAGCTGCTAATGGGTACTTATTTGATGGTACACTTAATTCTGTAGAAGTTAGAGAATATCTGTAAAGCAAAAGAAAGAACCTGCAAGTGACAATTATCCACACTGTATTAGTCCATTCTCGCACTGCTACAAATACATATCAGAGACCAGAAAATGTATAGAGAAAGGAGGTTTAACTGGCTTGGGGTTCTGCAGGCTGCGCAGGAAGCATGGCGGCATGTGGCAGCTTCAATCATGGCAGGAGGAGAAGGGGAAGCTGGCACTTCACATGGCTGGAGTGGGAGGAAGGTGAGGGGCTGCCACACACTTTAAACAGGCAGATCTCGTGAGAATTCTGTGACCACGAGAACTGCACCAGAGGGGGACGTCTGCCCGCGGGATCCAATCACCTCCCACCAGGCCCCACCTCCAGCATAGGGGATTACAATTTCACGTGAGATTTGGGCAGAGACACAGATCCAAACCGTATCACAGACACCCGGAAATTACCACGGCCAACACTTTGTGTGTGTCCCTTCGATCTCTACAGGCATGAGTGCGCACAGACACGTGTGTCTAGAAGTGGGAGCATCCTCTCTGTTCAGAACTAGGCCATGAACATCTCTGTTATTAAATACTTTTCTGCAACATAATTTCCCCAAATAGCTTTATTTTGTATTATGTATGCAACATACGCTTTTTTAAGAGAGAAGACAGCAAAGACGAGTGATAAAAATAACTGGGGGAGGTGGCATATGCCTGTGATCCCAGTGACTTGGGAGGCCGAGGTAGGAGGATTGCTTGAGCCCAGGAGTTCCAGACCAGCCTGGGCAACATAGTGAGACCCTGTCTCTAAAAAAAAGATCTTAGCTGGGTGTGGTCGCACACACCCCTAGTCCCAGCTAGCTACTCAGGAGGCTGTGGTGGGAGGACTGCTTGAACTAGGAGTTTGAGGCTACAGTGAGCTGTGATGGCATCACTGTGCTCTGGCCTGGGTGAGAGTGAGATGCTGAAAAATAATTTTTAAGAATGAGAAAATCATCTTAATCTTACAATTCAAGGATAAGCATTCTCAGCATTTTGGGGAACATATTCTTTATTTTTTTGAGACAGAATTTCTCTCTTGTTGCCCAGGCTGGAGTGCAATGGCAGCATCTCAATTTGCTGCAACCTCTGCCTCCTGGGTTCAAGCAGTTCTCCTGCCTCACCCCCTGAGTAGCTGGGATCACAGGCGTGTGCCAACATGCCGGCTAATTTTGTACTTTTAGTAGAGACAGGGTTTCACCATGTTGGGCAGGCTGATCTCGAACTCCTGACCTCAAGTGATCCACCCGCCTCGGCCTCCCAAAGCGCTGGGATTACAGGCATGAGCCACCACGCCTGGCCCTTGGGGAACATATTCTTTGACTGTAACCCGTGCATGCAGACATCCACACTGAGCCACACTGTGTACACGCAGGCACTGTCTCGTGTCCCCGCTGTTTATTAAAATCGCACGGTTAGTTCTTCAAGCCCAGCCTACCACACATGGTGTTGGTCCCGCCATCTTCGGTGGCTGACGGCACTGCACTCCCTGGGCTAGGCGGAGTTTACCCACGTGATGCCTGTTACAGGCATGCGGGTGGTTTCATGGTCCACGTTAAAGGGTGAACGGTTCTAAACAATGCTGTACACACACATGGTTGGCCTAGTTTTCCCTCCAGTTAAATTCCAGGAAGTTATGTTTTCAGGTTCTAAGAGTTTTTGTTCTCGGTTGTGTATTCTTGGCACACTCTTGGGGAAGGTTCTATCAGTCTAAAGCGTGGTCAAAAGACTGTGAGCGTGACTTCACCCTGCACCCGCGGCCACGAGCACTGCAGGAGGTTTAGCCTTACCCAGGCTTCTAAGGATTTATGCGCGAGTCTGAGCATCTGTGCATGTTGGCGTGACATTGATGTTTTCTACTGGTCCCTTTTTTTTCTTTTTTTTGAGATGGAGTGTCACTCTGTAGCCCAGGCTGGAGTGCAGTGGTGCCATCTCCGCTCACTGCAAACTCCGCCTCCCGGGTTCAAACCATTCTCCTGCCTCAGCCTCCTGAGTAGCTGGGATTACAGGTGCCCACCACCTCGCCTGGCTAGTTTTTTGTATTTTTAGTAGAGATGGGGTTTCACCGTGTTAGCCCGGATGGTCTCGATCTCCCGACCTCGTGATCTGCCTGCGTCGGCCTCCCAAAGTGCTAGGATTACAGGCGGGAGTCACCATGCCCGGCCTCCACGGGTCCCTTTTTATTGGAGGTGTTTGCTCTTCCTGATGGATAGGAACTCTCTAAAACACAGCAACTTCTCCTATGCCTTGTGTGCAAATAACGGTCTTGCAGTTTGCAGTGTGCACGTGGAAGTTTTTTTCGTGCTGTGAAATCCACCTGTTCTTTCCTCAGGGTCTGGCTTGCTGGAGTGCATAGAGAGCAGTCCCTCGCTGGGCTTATGTATGCAAGGGT